GAGAAGACACCTGGTCTAGACCGCATCTCATACCAAATGATCAGTGCTCTGTCTAATTCAAGTAAAAAGAAATTATTGGACCTATATAATACGGCATTTTTGACTGGCCGTATACCCTCAAATGTCTCAATCGCATCGGATTATCGTCCAATCTCTCTTTTATCTTGCCTCTTAAAAGTATTAGAATATATTATAGCATCTAGATTATCTTGGTTTCTTGAGTCCAAGAACCTGATAACAAAGCAACAAGTTGGTTTTAAGCGGGATAGAGGGTGCATCGACGCTCTTTTACTTATTGATTATTTGACAAGCAAAGCAATTTCCGAACGGAATCATGTAACCATTCTCTCAATTCATTTCGAAAAAACATTTGACAGAATTGGTCTTCATCTTATTTTAAGACTCTTGAAATCATGGAATGTTCGCCCAAATTGTTTAACTACATCAAATCATTCATGTCGCATCGGCAGTTTACAGTTAGAGTCAACAATCATCTCCCTGATTTCTTTCCGCTAATAAATGGCATTCCGCAAGGATCTCCTCTTGATGTGACGCTTTTCCAGATCGCCTTCAACGAAATTAGCAAAATTCTTTGCCATGTGCGGAGAATCGAACATTGTCTCTTCGCGGATACATTTTTAGAAAAATGTAAAGACGAGAGATCTCCGAACGGACCAACTTGTAAGGGCTAAAATTTCCATATAAAAATCAGAAAAAATCAGGTATGTGATGCGGGAAATCTACTGATGCATAATAATGAGTTAGCCGTACGGTGCTTTGATAATTTATGGCAATATCTGCAAATCTAACATCAAGATCCTTAAATCGGCTTATCACCAAGCCCTCAGAGCAAGTTGTTATGCTTTTCGGACGACGCATATAAATAATATAATAATTGAAAGTGGTCTCCCAACTTTAAAAAATAGACTTTATGAGTTAAAAGCGAAAATAGTCTCCAAGCTTCTTAATTCAAACAAATCTATTCGCGGTGAAGACGTGAGAAAGATTATTATTGCGAAGGAAATTCAAAAGTCACCATCTGCAATTGACTATTGATTGTACGTCGTAAAGGAATTGGACATTCCCTTAAAAATGTTCCGCTCTTTTGGTGCTAAACCTCCATGGATTTTGATAGACTGCTCTTTTGACATTTCGCTGTCTACGCACAAGAACCCAAATACTGGGGAGTACCGGTTGGAACCTTTTATACGAAGTAAACCTGAAATATCATCATCAGCACTACTCTTTTATTTACCCTCAATTAACTCCACCTTTATATCCAACAAATGTTGAAAAAATCAAGATCCAAACATTTTCGAGAATTCGCTTTTGTCATACAATTGCAACTCACCAATGGATCTAGAGGAACGATTGTGGACGAATTCTCACTATAAAGCACATTCTCTGTTACAGCCTTAGCTTTACTTTGGCTAGAAGTATTGCATTTGGAACGATTAACTCTATGGACATTCTAAAATCAGCTTCAGAACAGAATATCATTTCAATATATTACTTTACGAAAACTACAGGCTCAATATCTAATGTATTATTATAAATTATTGTTCAATGTCTTTTTTTTTAGTCTAAGAATTTATTTCATTAGTCTAAAATTTTACTAACAACAATAATAATAATAGCTTTGTACTCTATTCTCCAGCCCATTGTATTTAATTAAAAATTAATTTTTGCACTTTGAGCTTTTCAAAAAATTTTGTTAAAGTCCTGCACAGTCGAAGTCTTGTAGGTTTGAAGGATAAAACGACTTCTCCACTACGAACTTTTCACTACCAATGGACAAGTTGGAAATCATACAATCTAAAATATAAAACTCATATGGTCAGACCGTATATATAAATGATGGTATTTCCTCCTGGACATGAGCATGTTAGTGAACACAAGACGCGCTATGCATTGCCTTTAAAAATTATATTTTATTTAATTTGCAAACAGATAGGTACCAGGTGGCTTTTGAGAATATTATTAGATGCTTGCATGTATTTTGGCAGTTTTTTCACTTGGAAAAAAATTGGTATAACAAAAATATTTTCAATCATTTTCTATAACTCTTTCCTACGTTTCTGGCATATCAACATTTCGAAAGAACGATATTGGGTTAGCAGTGGTCCATTCATCGAATTCTTTAGGATTCATAAATTGCATGACAACCATGCTTTGTACTGCTTTGTTTGGTGAGTACAATGAATGCGGCAGAACCTCGCATTCGTGTTGCAAGAGTGTATCATTGACAACTATTGCAACGTGTGGGCGAACGTTATCGTGCCAAAGGATAACTTCATCTGTTAGCTGCTATTGCTGGTCTTTTTTGCAGCAATAGGCCGCTCAATTCGTTCAATTGACGTCGTTAGAAATCTGCAGTAATACTTCCATTCGGGTTTTACCGCTCGTAATACACTAGACCTTGCTGGTCCTGTAAGACATTAGACTAATGATCTCTTTTACACCGCTGGAGCCAAAACCGAAAATTGGGATGTAATGAAGCAGCAAACAACAAAAGTAACGGACATCGAAAATAAAATTTTGATCTTTCAATGGTTACCACATTACTTTATTATTTAAATGCATTATTCATCATGCAATATTTCCAAATCATGCAAGGCTTCCAAAAGTTATTCTAATACCTAAAAGCAACTCTTTATTCAGTATCGAAAAGCTAAGGCTTATAAGTATTTTACTTACATTGTCGAAGATATTTGATTGCATACTTCGACCTATTGAATGATCGGCAAATGTGGCACCGCCGAGCTCGCGGTGCGTTGTGTACATTGAATTATTGAGTCAATAGAAAAAGCTTAAATGGAGGGGGAATAAGTATTTTAGTGTCATTGGGCTTGTCCACAGTTTTTGATCGACTTCATTACGGGACGATATTTCAAAAGCTTAATAATGAATTTATGTTTTCAAATACATCGTGTTCGTTCATAAAGTTGTATTTGTCGGGCAGAAGACAATTTGCGACTTTTAGAGTTCGGGACTCATAGAAATGGCAGAAGGTATCTAGAGCGACTCACGGATCTGTTTTTTTAATTAGTTTTTTTTTTTAATATTTTCTTATTACTATTTGAGTGAAGCCTTAGTCTATGTATTGTATTTTAACCATACCTTACATCATTTACGAGATATATTGACTTAGTGCGAACGGATGTAACACGCAGAAGGGCTTAAGATAGCTCGACCTTTTATTATACCGGTCGATTCAGAATCATAGCCTGACTTGATCTAAGCTTGTCTTTTCGTCTGTCCATCTAACGTCTTTCCACGTACATTTAATTTCAAGCAAATGAGATATTTTGATGAGATTTAATACAGTTTTGGTTCAAGGACGAACACCTTTGAAAATGGTTCAAATCCCAGGCCCAGTTTTTGACCAATCTCCATATAGGGTCCTATTCTAAAAAGTCGTTGTATAGAAAAAATTGTAATTTTCAAAGGTTCTCGGCAAAGGCGGCTGACTTTGCAAATAAAAAAACATAATTGTTTCTATTAATTAAAATATAATATTTTCCTTTCATCCTGTCTAACATTCATTATGAATGTAATGGAGTTTCGACAGGGTATGAACATATTGCTCGTTGTATTCATAGTGAAAATGCATTAAATCCGGGTAAAGTAGATTGGATTTTTAGAAGAAAGAGGCTCTGTGACTTATTCAAATCGAGCAAATTGGATTGAACGTAGAACGTATCGAATGTTCGATAAACATAGTTTCTCGTAGAGATCGTGGCACATACTTCTCAGAAAACGATTTCACAAAATCTTTCTTGAGTGTTCCACATTCGTGTAAAAAAGAATTGTGAAAAATCGCTTCGTCTATACTGTTACAGTGATTCACTCTAAAGCAATTACTTTCAACTTGTCGAATAGCGGTATCATGTTTATCACTAAAATGTGTTTTTCAAACATGAACTTAAACTTTTTGACTATAATTCGTAACAACACATAAGAACGAAGAAAGTAAGAAGGATCTCATTGAGATATCAGCTATTGGAACTGAATGTTTTACCCACTCGATAGTTTATATCTTGAATTAATTTCCCCACAACTAATATTCCAAGATAACTCAAGAGTACATAACGTCAAGTAAACATCCCCTGACGACTTACCCGTACAAAAAATAACCTGAGCACAATATGAAAAAATAAAATATGGTGTGCCCTCACAATGTTTTATTAATAGTTCCTACCCGTGACGTTTCGATGTTGGGTTTAGTTTTTTTCTTTTATTTTATCAATATAGTAAGGAGGGATCCGCTACAAGAAAATATATATTTATGTATACATATACTTCGGTAGTATCGTATGAAAGGTGAATTTTTGAAAAATGTTCTTAGTTCGGCGATATTCGAGATATTAGAAAATACTACGCGTTAGTGTGAGGATGCCTTTGCCTCCTTGCCTCAATATTTTGATTACTTTGTTTAATAGGTGGATTGTGTGTAGGACCGTATCTCTGTTGCTTGCCATTACGTAAATAATTTCATTGTCGGATTTTAATGCAACCTCTGTGCATGATGAATAATTTACACTCTTATACCACAGTTTACAATATTGATTTCCCCCTTACAGGTAATAAGCCAAACAAGTAGTTTAAGATAGTAAAAGTTAAGACGTAAAAATGCTTCTATTAAAGGGTAGAATTTTACTTCAACAAAAATTTTGCCATTAATAACAATAACATAAAGACCGATAATCTTTGGCAAAAGCATTAGTGTAATACTTTTTGACGTCACATTTTAGGCTGAAGAAACTCTGTAATATCACAACGCTATAATCAAAAAAATTTTTTCGCTTTTGGGTTCTACGGTACGTTTGCTAACAATATCATATTATTATAACCTTCATCAACTTTGTATCTACTTGTGTTAAGTCCATGCGTACAAGTGTTTGTCGTCCATGTGAACATGAAGAACCGTAACAGCCGGGTAACAATAGTTAGATAACAAATGAACGCCGACTTATTGACGCAGTGCCGCAATGGCTTACCTCAAAATGATGAGCAGTTTAGTAAAGCTTTATTGGCCTTTTATTATAAGCGTTGTCAACTTTTAGTACTTAATTTTTTTCGATACTCTTGCTGTTGAATAAAGTATTTGTGTATTTCACTGACAATCTTCATAAAATGGTAAGTTACCGCAAACAGAACATTTGCAATATATGTGACAAGGAATGAGGAAAACGGGGGATGAAAATATATATTATATATGTACACAATGTTAATATATGTATATATTTTTTCAATGATTTCATAACAATTTGAGGTTCTTTTTTATTTAAATTAGATTTAGTTCAATATTAAAGGCACAATTTGCTTATAGAATTTTGTCGCTGAGTATGGTTTTTCTAAGTTTTTATGTAAAGTATATATTAGAAATTTTCACTTTTTTCATATATTTTCAGCACTTTAATCTTGTAAGTTTAGTTTTAGTATAACAAAAGCAAGGATTACCAGCAACTTTCGAAAGGATGCACGGAAGACCGACTGGTTAAATGATTGAAACCATTGCAGAAAATTTATATAAATTTAACGTAAAAAACAGCACCCTAGCGAGCTTCACATAGGCAATAAATACAAGAGAACAGCGAGAGAAAAGAGAGCTTTTTTATCTCCTTGCGACAGTGAGTTTCTGTTTTTATACACACCACTATAAGACGGGGTATACTCATTTTGTCTTTTTCCATAATATATGTAACATCCAAAAGGGAATTTCAGAGACCCTATAAAGTATATATTTTCTTGATCAGCGTGAAATTCTGGGTTGATATAGCCACGTCTGTCCGTCTGTGTGGTGTTTGCTGTTGGCATTCTCTTGGTCGCCAAAAAGGAAGATATCAACTTCAATTTTGGTAGAAACATTGGAAGTTTTTGCACCCATGTTGGTATTGAGAGCACGCCTAATTGGTCGGAGCATATGCTGAACGCAACTCCGTCTTTCTTAACAAAAATTTGTGGGCTTTTCTTCATTATTCAGAAATTATAAAAGTTAGAATGTTGAAATTTTCCATATTTATTTTTCGAAACGCTCTCTTCTTTACGTGCAAAAATGAAAAAAATCGGCCATGTTCACACAAAGTTACAAGCGATTAAATTATCTTATTAGCCTGTTTATCATAACGTAAACAAGGCAAAATGAAGATATATTATCTCCCTAAAAGTGGTTTAATTATGAGTATCAAATAAAAAAATTTGGAGAGCAGAATGCGACAAGCATAGTGATGGTATGCAAGATCCTGCCCCCGCCGAATACTTCTTACTTAATTGGTTTAAAAGCGCGCTAAGTCAATCCATTTGAATTTATCCCTCTATATATTTGCGTAATTATATTTCAAAGAGAAACATCACATTTTTAACCAATCAACTATTAGAGCCCTTGCGCAAACGCATTTCTAGCGCAGTGTCAGCGATCGTATAATAGAACTGTGCCTGAAAACCTATTAGTTTTCACTTGTCAAATGTCATCGCCGTACCAATTAGTACACTAAAGATTCGGAAAATAGCGTTAAATTTAAAACGGAATTACTCGCTGAAAATGGGGCAGCAGCTACTCCAAAAAATTAGGTGATTCTTTGTCTATTGGGTACGTTCGCAGTCTTAATACCAAACTCAAGTAGTTACGTTTAGGCTGTCATCATTTGGATTATCAAGATATGGCGTTTACAGAACCTTGGTTGATGTTAAACGTTCAGGATGCTAAAATGTTCGGTTCTGGGTATCAAGTGCAAGACAAATTGCAAAAAGTTGGAAGTGGAGTTTTAATTGTTGTGGTAAATTCTCTCCCGTCACCATTGTTGTTGTCGCTGTTATTTGTTGGTAGAAATTAGTGTTGTGGAATTGAATTGTTCATTCGACTTTAACTTGGTGGCAAGGTTATTTTTATAACTTGTTCGCAAATTCCTCCGCCGTCGTACATTAGTATTTATTTAAAGTATTTCCACCCCATTCGCCCAATGTCTCTACAAATGAATCCTGCTGATACATTATTTGTATTAGGTGACATTAACGTACCGGATCGTTTCTGGAACTTCACTGTTGAATGTAGCTGGCTTGATCTTTAGTTGTGGTTGTTACGCTGAACTGTTTACGCTCGTGTTTGAGTTACGTCTGTGTCAGTTGAATCATATAACTAATTCCTTGAATAAATTTTTGGATTTGCTCTTTGGTCGTTGTTTGGGAAGATGTTTATCATCCAACCATTCTGATCTTGTTGAGCTGTTCAACAAGGAGTTACAAGTCACACCTTACTTTCAGAAAGAAGGCTAACTTGCGATTTGTTTTTCAGAAAACTAATTATGCCAGACTTTGTGGTGAGTTGTTTAATATATCTTGCGATTTTGATTACGGCGATATTGAGGTTACTGCGTCTGATTTTTATTCTAATCTCCATACTACTATGTCTGAGAATCCCTATTAAATGGAAATTTCCAAACGAGCGTTCACTTGCTTGATTCTCCAGTGAGTAAAAACTGTTCTCCATAATTGGAATAGACCTTTTATGAAGCATAAGAAAACTGGGCTAGTGATTTCACGAACTGTTGTACTTCGATGCAGTCAGATCCGAAAAGTTTTTTCAAATTTGTTAATTTTAAACAAAAGCTAGTAGGTTCCCCCCGGTCACATAATTTAATAATATTGTATTTTCTAATCGCTCTGAGATTTGAGATGTATTATATATAACAATCCTACACTTCTGCGAATGCCACATGATCACTTTATTAAAAGTACTTGAATTCAATTTATGAAATTAATATTTTGAATCGGCTAAACGAATCAGGAAAGGAGAATAAATAAGAATAATCACGTATGTTTGTACAAGTAATGTAAAAGATATTAAACTGTTCACTACATTCCACAATCAGCTTCAGAACAGAATATCAATTCAATATTTTACTTTATTAATACTACTAACCTTATTGTCTAATATTCATTTATTTAAATTAGAGCCGATAGCCTGTGTTGCTAGTGCTCAATGTCTTTTTTTTAGTCTAAGAATTCATCTCATTAGTCTAAAATTAAATTAATAATAATAAAAATAATAAACTGTTCACAAGTTAAAGTGATAGAAAGATAAGTTAATTGGATATATGTGCCTCGATACTCTCTTTGGTGTACTAAAATTAATTTCGCTTACGAAAACTGATGACGAGTTTACTCCACTGACAAATTTAACTACAAAAGCGACATGAAGTGCGAGTGTCCACTTATAAAGACTTGGTAGACTTGTCAATTTCAAACGGCTAACATACAGAAACAGAATACAACTGGGGTTCCATCCTAGCCCTCGTAAGGCAAACACAATAAATAATTTTCAGCCCCACTCTATCATATCAATATCACACTAATAATTTGAAGATACCACTATTGACGCACACTCAAGAGTTGACCCAGCCAACGAAGGGAATAAACTGTTTGTTATGTAAGGGTCATCAAATTACTGAGACCAACTTCTGATCCATCCCACGGTTCTTCTGGCTCTATTTACGATTGAGCGTACATATAAATCGTCGTTCGGGATCAAACACATCACCCAAATTTTCAATATCTACAGCATCTTCGTATTTAGTTAGCAAGGTTTTTAAACCTTTCTTTAGACCATCTGTTCGTGCATCGAATGAAAGAGATATGATGATGATTAAAGCAGGTGGGTATTGAACCACACACGACAGATTATTTATGAATAGGGTCAAGTAGGCTTGAAAGTTGGACGAAACTATTATCTTTCTAGGCTAAGTACAATAATAAATAACACATAATGTATATGTGTATAATCGGACTACTTAAGTAATTATGTAAATATAGTTACATGTATATATATAATACATGTTGACACGTACGCCTATTAATATGTCAATATCAATGTGTCTGTATGTAAATAAATTCATTCTTCAGAATGTGATTTTATTTTTATGTATTAGAAAAATCAGAGGCCAATAGGTAACATCCAACAGGAACTTACTTGGCATTGGTCATCTTTTTGAAGCACTTTCGAAAGAACTCTTCCCCTTATTGCAAACGGCTCATAGCATCTATTATGCCAATTAAAAAAAAATTGATTTACTTTAAACGCTTATTTATCACAGCTCGAGCAAAAAGACCTTTCAACTTATGAAAAAGCTTCGTCTATATTTGATAGAACGCTTAACTGCTTTCGTCTGGCAGCTGCAAGCAAACAAAAATATGTGGTAATTATTTGCAATACATTAATGTATTTAATTTTTTAAATTAAAAAAAAAGCTGAAAACATTATGTGTTGAGACGAATATGTTAAGTGGTAAAAGTGTATACAGTGATGTAAGGATAATTTTGCATATTTTGTCTGAAATAAGATAATTTTAGAAATAATTTTGCTTAAAGGTAAGCATGAAAACTAGTAAGAACTTATCGTAAGTCAAAGAGACAAATATCTTAATAAAACAAGTTATTTCTCAAAAATGAGTATTGTTTTTTTCTGTAAAGAGCTCAAAGAGGCCATCATATAAAATTGAACCCAAAGATTCAGTTTTCTTATAAATAGTTATAGAGAGAGAGGCTTCAAAAAATTGCCATAACCAAATGAAACTTTTCGTACAAATTTAGAATGTCCAAATACTGAGCGAGAATTGTGAAAATTGCAACTTTTTTCCATATAACGACTTTTCAAAAGAAAGCATTATATAAAAAGTGCACCACGAGGTCGAAAAACTGGACCGATCGAAACCACTTCCAATGGCCTTCCTGGAGTCGAAGCATGTCAGTGCACCAAATTTCGTCAAAATATTTCAAAAATTGCGGCCTGTAGCTTGAATACAAATATAGACAGACTTAGATCGACTCATTCATTTTCGGTACAATGAAAGTTGGGGCTACTTTAAGGCCCTTTACATGCTACATAGGTTGGCTTAACATACCTTGTATCGCAAGGGCTGTAGGGTATTAAAAGGCGACTACACTACATAAATAGTTTATTTTTTTAAAAAAGGAGAGCCGATAATTATTGCTCTTCGAACTTTTTTTTGTCATAGAATTTACCTTGATCTAAATAAATTGCAATAATAAAACCACTTACCATTTTTTCCCTTCAGCTTAAAAGTCTATGGATGTAAACGTACGGCAAGTTCTTTTATATCGAGTCAGCGTTTTTTAATGTTGACTAACTTATCACAATCCTGGTATAATCATAGATTGTATTTTGTGCTTTTTGGAGAAATCATCTTTTTATTCTATTCTTTTCACAAGTCACTAGCTTTTTTTTACTCTTCGCTTACAACTTATGAACCATTCCCTTCATTCTTTATTCCTTGCATCTAAACTTTAACCTACTTATTCCTAAATTTAAATCAATGCATAAGAGCTGCGAAAGCGAAACTGTACTGTCAGGACAGAAAATACATTTTTCAGCCGCCAATAAAATAATAAACGCTACAAAACCTTTTAAGTTGAAGATAGGTGTCAACATAAGTGTTTGTTTGTATATTTTTGGTATGAAACTTGCGTCTTTTTATATTTAATTCACTAACTAATAACTCCTTGAACAACCGTCCATCTATCACCTTTCTTTGGTGGCCAGTAAAACGCTAAGCTATTACAATCGTTGCACTTCTTAACTTCAATACACCAGTATTACTTAGAATATCTTTCTTTCACTTAAATGTTTTATTTCAGGGCGCCATACCCTTCAATTTAGATGAGGATTAAGCTTAGCGGCTTCGTGATTTCACTACATGACCTAATGCCTGGGCTTAGTTCACCAGTGTACTCAAGTTGCTAGAGACATAGACCCAGTTAGGGTTTAAAGATGGAAAACCCTTTTCCCTGTAACAATCTTTCCTTTACCTCCAGAGTATTTTCAGGCAGTAAATTCAATCTTCGTTGTCTTAACAAGCGAAGTTCTACTTTTTTTCTGTTATAAGTTCGGTTACGGTGATATCCACATAAATAGCCAAACAGGTAAAAATTACGATTAGAAACTCAGTGCTCACAAGCTCAAATTTCAAGCACTTTGGTCATGGCTACAATGGATATTTTGTTAAAGAAGGTGTTACGCCTGCATTTACCGATTGGGCAAACTTACCGACTGAGAACGCTAAGCTACGGTCAGCATCTTCCTAGCACATTCTCTATCTTTACTTCCTCTCAATTGAATAGGCTGAAAGAGCTTCTTATAATATCGAACATGTGAAAACTAAAAATGAAATTCTGTAGATTCGCTTGTACCACAAGTTGAACAGATATCTTTTGGCATGGTACATATAAAATTTGATGGACAAAATTGTACCGTCAAATCGAGTCTTTTTTGCAGGAAACGCGGCTTTTCCAATTAAAGAAACTCGTAATTATTCACTTTCTGCAACTTCTTTGTGCAATTGTGAAATGGCTTTGATTTTTCGATAAAAGCCGTTAGCTGGTTTTTCCTTTGCATCGTTTATAAAAAAAAGAATAACCATGTGTTGTGAATAGAAAGAGAAGAGCATTGCTTTCAATAAATGGGGGAAAAGCACAGTACCAATTCTGTTAAATGAGAATAAATGAATAAAATCACCGAAAAGCATCATAGAAGTTATTAGATGTAAACAACTATTTAGATGTTCAAACATTGTCAAGTATTTTATTCATTTATCTGAGTATAAACTATAGAGGAAAAGCGTTTTGATAGGACGTCAACCATCTTTCTTTATTTTTCTTCAATAGTCAGTTGCGCATACAAAGCGACAGACCTCAATTTGGGATTTCATATACAGTCTTATGTATTTCAAATAAATCTTGATTATCTACGTCTCTTTTATTTATTAATAATTTTATTTACTTATGTATTTATTTATTTTTACCTACTTATATATGAAATTCAACTAAAGAAAATTACAGTCGCATTCAATACGCCCTAAAAGTAAATCTTATGCTAATTGTTTTAAAACCTAGTATAAAATAAAAAGGAAAATGAAAGAAGAAGAATAATAAAGACAAAGTAAGCTAAAAATAAGTTAAAAAGTTAAAAATAATAATTTATAAATAAATCAATAAAAAAAGAAAAAAAGAGGGGAAAAAAAGCATGTGCACACTGGCACAGGAGCACACCCGCAACAAGAACAGATCCAGGATGCAAGTGAACCCCTGAACCTTTGCAAATATGTATAAACTTGGCCGACACGTTAGCAACACCATACAATTTTCGAAATAAAAAAAACTGTGATATTAAGAACGTAAGTTAATTTAAGTACTACAGCAAGAATTGGTTTTGAACAATTGAACCTACATAGCACCTATATAAAGGAGATCACACAACAGAAGCATATTCGAGTATAGGTCTAACCAAACACAGGTACAGCCTTTTCATATGCAAGGATCATCAAGCTCTTTGGATTACCTCTTTATAAAACCAAGCGCGGACCGAGCTTTGCTTAACGAGAGCTCAATGTGGAAGTTAAAACGTAACCTATGGTCAAATAGAACGCCTAAATCTTTGAACGAATCGACGTTCTCCAACTTGTGCGAATCAATGAAATGCTATGTAATGAATGACTTGCTTCATGAGAAAGAAAGCTTCTTACATTTATTTAGATTTAGTTTCATAAGATTCAACGAGCACCATGCAACCAAATTATTCAAGTCAATTTGAAGGTGATGTGATTGCGATTCTACGGAAAAGGAAGAAAAGCTCTGGCTGGACTTAATCACTGAGGGCAAATCATCAATGTCTAAATTAAATAAAATCGGTTCTAAGTGGTTGCCTTGAGGTACGCCAGACGTCATGGGGAATGGATATGAGGTGAGGAAGTTAAACAGAACCCTGAATGACCTATTATGCACATAAGAGTATATCTATTTCCCTAAATAGGAAGGCAAGCCAGAGACTTGGAGTTTAAAGATAAGTAGTTTATGGTTAACCAAATCAAACAGAGTTAGCAGTCGAAAAGTTTCGTCGGAAGTATTCAACAAAGTGATTTGAGATTTCAATAACATCCAACGACTCAGAGCCACTAAAAGACTCATGCGAGGAATTTATGGAGATTTTGCTTTTGGAATTAACGAACTTAAAAAAATATTTAGGATTAGCAAACAGAGGGAATTTAATGAACTGAAGGTATTTGCGATAATATTGGTGGTTGAAAGAATTAAATCTAGGCCTTGTTGCTGAGTTAGCGAAATAGTCGAAAGCAGAGACACTTCTCGAAAATTTCTTTCTTATACAGGGCAATGTATGAAATAGTTAACTTTCATTTGCTTTAAGAAGTTATTTAGCTGATTAAAAATTAGTTTAAAGTCAGTTAATGGTGACGCGGCCAAAATTTTGCTGAATTTTTCTCTTGTCAAAGGTGTGACTATTCTCTATCTATTATCATCAACCTTTCCCCATCCTATCTACATTTTTTGCACTAATTTCTAATGCCAAAATAGTGATGGTTATTGATTTTGGTCGAAAATTCTTAAAGTGAAACGTTTTCCACGCAACGACTTTTTAAAGATAAGGGTTTATATGCGAAACGGCCGTAAAAGTGATCCGATTCAATCCATCGTCAATAGCGTTCATCCTTGGGAATGTTAGTTCCTAAGGAAAGAAATTTTTTTTTTGACGCAGCACAACGAGCGAAACATAATATAAGTACACTCATCTTCGTAGCAATTGCTATTACTAAAAAATTAAATTGTTTGAATTGAAAATGTGTCAGATTTAATACATGCGTGCATGTATTTTGTTTAAATATTATTCTACAGAAGTTATATATTGATCTACAAAACAGTTAAATTTGATGATTTTGACCTTTCTCATCTTTTTCATTGCTGTTATTGATTGTTTGAAGAAATCTACTGCCGAAGTATGCCAAACACTTTTAGAAGCTTTTGGTGATGCTTCATTACATTCCAGTTTTACTTTCAATAGTTTAAGTGGAGACTTTAATGTGACTTTGAGCGGCCTGGAGACCCAAAAAAGATCGAAAACAATGAACTGGAAAATCTAGCTTCAATTCTCAAAGAGCTTTCGAACAGCCTAACAGTCGACAAATCAACTGTTTCGAGATGTTTACATTCGATGGAAAAGATCCAAGAGGAGGCAAATGGCAACCTTACGAATTGACTGAAAACGCCATTCCGAAACGTCTCGACAAGGTGCTTTTATTGTCTACCAGGCAAAAATAAGAGTTTTCTGAAGCATGTTGTGATTGGAGATGAAAAGTAGATCTATTAAGACAGTCCCAAGCACAGAAAGTCATAGTTTAGTCCAGGAAAGACATCCCCATCCACACCAAAGCGGAATATTCATGACCATAAAGTTGCTGTGCGTACGGTAAGATCAGCAAGGTGTAGCGCATTATGCGTTGCTAAAACCTAGTGAAACTGTCACTGCAGATGTCTACCGACGTCAGTTGAACAAATTGAACGACGTATGGTTGCGAAAAAGAGCAGCAATAGCAGTTAACAGACGCATGACAAAGCTCCCACACTGTTGCAGATCGAGTCGGAAGTTCTGTCGCATACATTGTACTCACCATACATAGCGACTTCCGGGTACTACTTGTTCAGATGGAATCAGCATGACTTGGGTGATACGCGGTTTCGAAAAGCTGAAGAAATGTGACAAGGGGCCGCCCACTGCATCGCTGCCAAGCCAACACTGTTCTTTCGGCCAGGTAAGATAGGGAAGTTGAAGCAATAATGGAAAATATTTTGATTACTATATATTCTACCAAATTTTTTAAATAAACTTCTTCTGAAGTGATCAAAATACATGCAATCACCCAATGTTTCTGTAACGCGTTATACCACACGATATTAAATTTAAAATTTTGAAGTCATTACAAATTTCCTAAAAGCATCCACATTCCTATCCCTCAAATTTGATATTTTTATCATTAATTCGTGATCTTGCTTTCAATTTTTATTTGTTTTAATGATAATAAATAAAGCGCGAATTTCAGCTTCGATAATTTAGCAGTATTTAACATGATTATTTAATGTTATAATTCATAAAGGCGCAAGGTGTGTTCATAAAGGTACACGCAATTGACAAAAACTGTAAAATATTATTTATATCTGGTGAAATGCTATTAACTATTATTAACTTAGCGACGGGCGGCCCACAATCAGTGAAATAGATTATAATTTTCATATTTGTGGCGAGTGTGAAAATTTTGCCAGAAGGCGATCCTAGCTTTCTTACTTGTTTACTCCTCCTACAGTTAATAAAGATTTTATTACGTTAATGACGATTATATCATAGTACATTAATACATGCGCATAAGCAGGGCATATATATAACAATATACATTCTCGTTTACAAAGAACGAATTAAATTAATGTTGTAAAATTATTTCTAAGCCATTGCAAAGCTTAATTTGAAACTTTAGCGGAATATTTCTTCATTCTCTCTTCAATTTCTGGTCTGAAATGGCGTATTAAACCCTGAACGGGCCAAGCGGCACCATCACCCAAAGCGCAAATTGTATGGCCTTCAATTTGTTTGGAAATTTCCCAGAGCATATCGATTTCAGCAGCTTGCGCATTGCCGGAAACGAACCTGGCAGAAGACAGCGCTCATGAAATTGTATCGCATTTGTTTTTAATTGCTAAAAATATTTAATTACCTGGCCATGATTTTATTCATCCAGCCAATGCCCTCGCGGCAAGGAGTACACTGACCACAACTTTCGTGTTTATAGAATTCTATAAGACGAGCAATGGCCTTAATAACGTCCGTAGATTTATCCATCACTATAATGGCAGCCGTGCCTAAAGATGTTTGAGCCGCAATGAGGCCATCAAAGTCCATTATTGCATCGTCACAAACTTTCTTTGGGATAAGCGGCGTTGAGGAACCACCCGGAATCACAGCTAATAAGTTATCCCAACCACCACATACACCACCCGCGTGACGTTCAATTAGTTCCTTTAAAGTTATGGACATTTCCTCCTCCACAGTACAGGGTGTATTTACATGCCCGGAAATATTAAAGAGTTTAGTGCCAGAGTTACGGGTACGACCGAAACTAGCAAACCATGCTCCCCCACGACGACAAATCGCTGGCGCTACGGCAACAGTCTCAACATTTGTGACTGTGGTTGGACAGCCAAATACACCTACGTCAGCTGGGAAAGGTGGTTTGAGGCGAGGTTTACCTTGCTTTCCTTCAAGCGATTCAATGAGTGCAGTTTCTTCACCGCATATGTAGGCACCAGCTCCACGATGCATAAACACGTCAAAATCATAACCGGAGCCGCAAGCATTCTTCCCTATTAGGCCTGCCTGATAAGCTTCGGCAATAGCGATTTGCATATTTGAAGCTTCATTATAGAATTCTCCTCGTATATAGATGTAAGCAGCATTCGCACCCATAGCTCGTCCAGCAATTAAACAACCTTCAACAAGTTTATGGGGATCGTGACGCATTATCTCACGATCTTTACATGTTCCAGGTTCACCTTAAATCACATGAATGTTGTACGGGATTAAAATACCAACGCAAACTTTACTTACTGCATACCTTCATCGGCATTAACCACCAAGTATTTAGGTCGCCCATCCGATGGCTTATTCATAAAAGACCATTTCATGCCACTCGGGAACCCAGCTCCACCACGACCGCGTAAACCAGACGTTTTGATTTCATTGATTATCCAATCAGCACCTTTTAAAACAATTTCTTTTGTCTTGTGCCAATCACCCCGCTTCAAGGCGCCGTTTAAACGCCAATCATGACGTCCATACAGATTGGTAAAGATGCGATCCTGATCAGCTAAAGGACCAAATTTAGTTTTTGTTTGTGGTGGCGGAGTTCCAGGTGGGGGTGCATTTGTGCCCTGCCTACGTTTTTGCAGTGCCACCGGTAGCGCGTATGCTGTAATTATGAAAGGTTTTCATGGTACATTTTTATACATTACAGTCACTTTTCTAAATCAATAACGCAACATATTTTTACAAGCACTGTTACTTATTAGAAAGTTACATAATTTCTGCTAATCTTTCAAAGAAATTTAGGCTGTTAAACATAATCGGTTCATAGTTTTATACATATCCTTCGATACATTTTCGAATACCTTTTGTTATTTTTATATTTAAAAGCAATTAATTTCATTACCAAATTGTGATTTTTGCAATATATTTAACCGCACGATTGTTCCTGCCATAGTCTGCAGCGTTGAAAAACAACGTTGCCACACTATAGATTTATACGAATGTGTAGTGTTATTGTTGAGTTTTGATTCAACAGCCTTAAAAACATATGATAGATTTTCAGCATTGACCAAAGTACAAAACATACGGTAGCCCAGTAAAGTCTACATATAAATTCACGTTTCTCATATCAAAAGCTACATTTATGGGTTAATTAGTAAAATATATTTCTTAGGACATTAACACTGGACTTACAACATTTCGAACGAACGAACATTTCGGGATGAGTGCTAACTGGATAAAATTTTTCTAACTCTTTTGCTCAATACCATTTCAATACTACGAGTTTTCGGTTCATTTGTTACAATACTGGTAATATTTCGATCTTCATGCTCTGTGAACATGTGTGGTGTGTTCTATTCTTTATAATAGTTTAAAAAGTACCACGGCTAATTTCAATTGTTTTTACTATTTCCTTATACGGTTTCTCCTCCCTTCTTCAATTCATAATCACACTTCTAAGTTCTTGAGTAAATGCTTTACTTTTTTGTATATATGGTAACATTTTAAGTGAAAGAAATAAAACTACACACTTTAATTGATAGATTAACATTTAAATGTACGAAAACAAGTATAAAATTGTTAAATAAAAATGTCTTTTTCGAGCATTCTGGTGACATGTTTTCGGTTTATGTGACTTTTTGGTGGTTTTTTGCTAATAACCTGATCTTAAGTCAAAAAACAATTTTGAAGTGTTATTTCACGTAAGTTTTTGTATCCTGAGAAATATATTTTTTCACTCTCAACCCATAAAAGTCGTTTTTAACAAGAAAACCCCCAATTTTCAGTATTATATGTAGACTTTTTTGAGCTACTGTTTCTGCCATTGTTTACCTTTATTAAAGTGGGTTATAGAAAAACTCTTCGTTTATATGATATTAATACTAGCGACAACACGACTTTTTGCAATCGGTGGTTGAAAAACTTTTTTTTGTGTTATGGGTGTTAGTAAAAAAAATGAGAATTCAAAAAAGGAGCAAAAATAAAAAAAAATTTAAAAAAAAATTTGAAAGGGAAAAGAAATTTTTGAAAATTTAAAAAAGAAGGAAAGAATGTACGTACATAATAAATTTTTTCTCTTTTTCGCCAGATTTTTTTGGTATGTTTTGCCCGACATAACAGTCAAAACTATATCAGCCCATCTCCCTATGGACGCAGGGTGTGCGACAAACAAATGTTATTTTGAAGATTTTTTTATGAATGCCACTAAGCATATTAAGAGATCCAGGATGGGTGGGGATGAAGTTTATTTATTTTCCAAAAGAGAAGCTAATGATTTGACGGTGCACAGAAAACAAGTAGTTGATAAGACTTCTGATTTGGGTGCCAAAGCCGTTCCAAATCACAATATCAATTTGTACGATTGTTTGCCGCAGTACAATTTCTTAGTTTTCGTTGAAACTTGTGAAAATGCCGAAAGCGTGCGTACGAACATCAATTCGTATCTTTTCTTTTAGGATTATCTTAAATGTTTCAACATTAACGGGTCAAAAGTACTAAAGGTGGTTAGCAAGGATGGTTGGAAGGTTGGAATTGCTGTTCTGCTCTAAATGTTATCAACCTCGCTGAACACAATGATTTAAAAAAAAAAAATTTAAAAGCGTGTATGACGAGGACTTTCACGGAAATATTCGTAGTTTTTGCAATGTCCCTAGTGAATATGATGTAAACGAGATCACATTTCCACAATTGTAAGTGCGTAAACTGTGGAACGACGAAGTGCTTGTCCTGTGGTTCAGTCGACCACAACGCTCTAAACAAGTGTTGCCTGAACAGAGAGTGGGGATTAAATATCAACAAAATTATGGTATTAAAAATCTTTCTTACAAAGAAATGAAAGAAAAGCTTTCCTCAAACTACTTTGATTGTCTGGATGACAACTACTACGATGACAATTTCCCCTCATTGACGAACTCGTCCACAATTTCGAGCAAGGATGATTACGAGTTAGTGAGATTTTAACAAAGAAAAAATTCAATACACCTCCCTAGCCTTCTCTCATCTCATTCCCAAAGTCGTCTATAACAAGACCTCAGCGGCCAATAATTTCGAAGAACAATTTGCGTTCCTCGGAATTTGATAGATTAATCTCTGCGATTAAAGAATGTATCCGTCCAATGATCCCTCCAAAAGGAATTTGAAGAAAAAATGTCTCTCTGTGCCAATAATCATTACGATCAAGCAAGTAAAGCCGCCGAAGTTCCTTTTTAATTTAAAACATGATCTCGTTTTCACAATGTAATATCCAAAGTGTCCGACATAACTTATAATTTTTGAATTTTTAGATGAACTCGAATAATATAGATTTCTGCAGCTTAAGTGAACTTTCTCTGAGAGATAACAATTTTTTTGAAGTTATAGTTTCCAATTATACTTTAGTCACCAAATGCCGATATGACGATTATGTTGACGTTAGTATACTAGTTAAGAAAGGCGTCCATTTTAGACGTATCCCCTACAATTCTGCTGGTGATATTATCATCATCAAAACCGTGGATCTTGAAGCGAATCTTTCCATAGCTTCATGCTACTTTCCACCCATACTTGATGTACAAACTTTCCGTGATGAGATTTATAGATTATGTGACTTTGTTGATGGTGAACAAAATGTGATTCTAGCCGTAAATTTCAATGCTAGACATTGCTTGTATGGCGATCAAGTCTCGACAAACAAAGAGAACATCCTCGCAAATACCATCAACACCAGCAGTTTCAATATCTTAAACAATGGTAAATCGACTAACGTCTTTATTGGCAAATGTCAGCACTCTCATATTTTATTTCACAGTCGCTGCAATTCCTTTAAAAAAATAGAAAATTTCATTTCACGCAACTTCCTTATGGACCGTCTGTCTAAAGTTGATTTTCCTTCCGACTTATCCTCAGTTCAAAGTACTTTTCAGTCCGTGATCATATCTGCTAGAACCAACTTTTCTGATATTGTGTCCTTCTCACCTAAAGCTTGGTGGAAATATACCCTATCAACACTTTTTTGCAAATAGCGAGCTGCAAGGAAAAAATGAGTAAATATGTCAAACCAACGAACTACATTGAATGTATAAAAACTTTGGGGGAGTAGAGGTCTGCAGTTAGAGAAGAGAAAAGGACACATAGAGCTGTTACGATTAAAGAGTTATTTGGCAATGGTAACTCGCGTTTTTTCTAGAATTACATTAGAGGGCATTAATATTTTAGTCGAAAATTAAACGGTTATGCTGTGTGGAATGACCTTGAGAATAAAAGATACCTGGATATGCTCAAGAGCTATATTCCAAGTGTCAATCCGAATACATTACCTTCAGTTCCTTTTAGTAGTCTCAACAATACACCCTTTTCATTGTGTGAGCTAATGTATGTTTCACATTCCAGAAAGAGGGCTACTACTGCATGTTGTGATGAAGTTAAGTATGATATGGTAAGAGTGCTGTCTGGGAGAAGCTTAACTGTGCCGTTGCATGCAATTAATAACTTCTGCTCTATTAGCTTTATGCTCTCAGATTTGCGATGTATGAAAGTACCAACCACATGGTTAAAGAGAGATTGATGGAATTCTTAAACACTGGAAACATTATTACAGCTCGTTCTTATGCTTGTCAAAAACGCAAATGTACAAATATGCGCGTTAATAAACTATCTTTTTTCACAGCTAGTTTAAAAAAAGCTGGTAAAGTGTTTGTTGTGCTTTCACTGGACATCAGCAAAACCTATGATTGTGTCAATTTGTTCAAGCTTGGTAGAATTCTTTTAAACTTTTCAATTCCTCTTCAAATACCTATGTGGGTACCAAATTTTTTATCCAAACGTGTTTTGGTGATGGGTACAAAAAAATTTGAAGTGTATAGTGGTATTCCACAACGCAGTTGTTTGAGCATCCTGCTCTTCAATCTATACATAGATATTTTGCATAATCTTCAATGACAAAACTCATCTTTTTGAAAATGTAGATGATTTCTTTATCGTATCTGCGGATTCATCCTTTTCAGTAGCCGTGAATAAACTTCCGATAAAAACTAATCTTCTTTTCGATTCATGCGTCGATCTTAATTTATATTTTAACCCCAGAAAAACAAATACTATTTATTTTGCCAAAAGTTCGAAACGAAAAATCAGGCTCTTTATCAAACGAACTAAAGCTGATCAGGAAACATCTCTTCGAATTCTTGATAGAATTTTAAATGACAGCGTAACTCTTCGTGGAAATTATGATCAATCAAGCTTACCTCCCAAAAAAGCCTTGACCGTGTACACAGCTTTAGTCAAATCTAAGATTGAATTGGCACATTCTACATCGTGTAATTTCCAAAAATATATTGAGAAACGTACACAAACACTTGAAAATCGAATTTTAAAATGTTTTACTAGACTGACTCTTTCAATTCCTCAACATATTCCCAATGCCATTTCTGGTAATTTGTCCGTTTCCGGAAAAGCTCTTCTTTGTACTGCTAAGGAGTTAATTAAAGACAACATAAAGAATCCTTACCTCTCTCAGAAAGTTATATCTCTCAGTGATACTGTTTCTTCCAGCTACACATTTTATCATCAAGAAGTGCTTCATATTTTCGACCAGATAAATTCAATTCCTCTGTGGAATTTTTTTACTAACAAATGTAGAGTCTCCACGAACATTCTTGAATTGTTCTCTGCCTTAAAGCAAAATGTCAAGGGCCAAATTGAAACCACTAATAAATTACACAACAGGGAAATATAAGTACCAACTTTCTTTGACTACCATTAAAGTGTAGATTATTACTACAAATCCATACGCAAAGAAAAAAAAGGAAAGCATAGCAGATGCAAATTAGAATTATTTATTTTATTTAATTTAATTCTACTTATACATGAAATTAAACACATAACAGTCCAGTTCAATTGGCACTTAAAGCAAAACTTATATTAAATTAATAATAAAACTTAGTATAAGTACAATAAAACAAATAAGAAGGAAAACAAAGGAAAAAGAAAACAAACATGTACACAACCAGCAAAGAGCCACACTTCCAACCGGTACA